CTCTTCCCCAAGAATATTATTACGTTATAGCGCTTATAGCTCCTGCTGCTGCTCCTAGCTTCAGCGTCCTTACAATGACGTTTCTCCATTTGATTCGGTCCTCGTGGACTATCGCTAAGGACAGTCCAACACACAGCATTATTATGCATACGCCGGATCTCTCGGTTTCCCAGCACACTATGTAGATGCACAAAGTACAGGTAAGAGAGAATCTGAGAGGTAAAGCGCTCCTTATACAGCGTTCTACTATAGCTGCAGTCTCACATGAAGTACTGGATGTATGGGTGAATCGGACGAGTCAGATTCCCCCAAACGAATGAAGTACTATAAATTGCTGCGAAGCATAGGTAACCCGTTATAGGTAGATTGTATTGGTAAATACGAGGTTGATTGGGGATCATCTTACAGACTCCCAGGGCCCACATCAGATGAAATATAACGACGAATACGACATTCAACCCTCTGAAGTAGTCCACCGCCGGATACCGGGGCTTTGAGGTTGGCTGCAACTTCTCATCAGCATTGGATACCGGGGTGAAGCCCACGAGTGTCCCTTTGTGTATCGCTCGCTCCCTCTGTGTTAGGAAATGGGTGACGCAAAGGCTGCAGGAGATGACTAAACCGAGGAGTATCAAAACAGTAGCTGATTTGATAGAGGGGAGACTGAAATTGACCCACGTCTCCTCAATCATGTAAGTCGTTGGATCGGCGAACTCCGAGTCATGTTGTGACATGTAGGATTAAAAACTGTCGTAAGGCGTAACTGCTGGAAAGGATGAACCCGAGGGCAAATGAAAGGGGCAGAGACAGGAGATAAGCATCACCATCGACTTTACGCCAACCGCACGACGAAGGCTTGGCGTCACACATGCCTTAGGTGTGACGCCTGGCGTTCGTCGGGAATACAAGTGCACACCGCTTCTCCGTGGCGTGGATAGTTCGATAAAATCAATCGCGCTGGTCGAATGAGTATAGCTTCGACCTACGAGGCGCCAGCCTCTATATTAGTTCGGGCATGCGACAAGGCGTATGCCATATAATCAAACATGGACACCAGGGGGGTATTCACATATATTATGTATTTGTGTCATGCGCTACTCTGATGAATGTCTGCATAGAACGAAACCCTGGAGATGTTCATCGCATGAGTGAGATGAACACGGCATTGATTAATCAGTTAGATTCACGCAGCTACCACCAATAGAGCTGCCTGTACATGTAACTCTAGAACGAACCATAAGACTAGCATATTCCACGGCCTTCGTAACATACTTATCTAAGCGCGGTTGATCCGAATGACCAACGGCTTTACTGGGGTAATAAATTCTACGAGCCAAGAATATCACGGTCACCTTACTGGGTTGAGCTCAGTGCCTAACTGGAAGTATACACGTCTATCTAGCTTTCGATTGTTTCCTGCGTCATGTTCAGACTCTTTCTGATTGAGGAGAAACAACTTTCATTCACGCGCGCACGACCGAAATGGCCCGAGGTGCAGTGTATAGCTCCGCTTGCGTTCGCCCCGCAATGAGCAAATATAACACTTCAAAATGGCTAACGTTTCCATACTTAGGTCCAAATCCTATGACCACCACACGTTGTAGCGCTTATAGTCCCCGCTGCTGTTCCTAGCTTCAGCGTCCTTACAGTGACGCTTCCCCATTCAACTCGATCCTCGTGGACCATCGCCGAGGATAGCCCAACAAATAGCATCAACATACATACTCCGAATCTCTCTGATTCCCAACAGAGTATGTGAATGCATAGCATAGTGACGATAGCGAATCTGAAGATGCAGAGCCTATTATACGACGTCTTAGTGCAGCTGGTAGTCTTACAGTAAGTATTGGATGCATGGGTGAATGAGAGGGGTGAAATATAGCCAAGAGGATTATCCTCTGAGGATAACACGCTGTAGAATGCTGCGAAATACAAGGAGTTGGTAACCAGTAAATTATAGCCCCACATAGCTAGAAAATCAGGAAGGACTTTGAGCATAATAATAACCCAAATCGAGTGGAATATAACAACGATTGGTATAGTGCCTCCTCTGAAAGAGTCCACCGCCGGATACCACGGCTTCGGGATTGACTGCAACTTCTCGTCAACACTGGATACCAGGACGAAGCTCCTGAGTGTCCCTTTGTGCATCGTTCGTTCCCTCTGTGTAAGCGAAGGGAAGGTCAAAAAGCTGTAGGAGATGATGGAACCGGAAGAGTATTAGAATAGTAGCTGACTTGATAGAGGAGGGACTGGAATTGACCCACTGCTCCCCAATCATGTAAGTTGCTGGATCGACGACTCGAAATCCTCTTGTAACATATGGAGTAAAATCTATTAGACTAAATCTGAAAACAAGGATGCGGCTCCGTCTCTGCGAAAATTCAGCCCACGAGTGAGGTGAGAGGTGAACGGTCGGGGTGGAGCGAATCACGTACAATGAACACTAGAACGGCCGAGAAGCATCAGAAGAAGACCTCGCCATTTTGTATCCTTGCAACTTTGATAAATGAGCAGGCAAGAATTTTGACGACATGCACCCAAGTTTGACAATATACCGTATTCAGTTTGACAATATGCACCCAAGTTAGACAATATACCATAACCAGTTTGACAATATGCACCCAAGTTTGAGAATATACCATATTGAGTTTGACAATATGCACCCCAGTTTGACAATATACCGTATTCAGTTTGACAATATGCACCCAAGTTAGACAATATACCATAATCTGTTTGACACTGCGACTCGATACATTGATGTGTGGCGCTAACTGATAGTCCACCTTGGACATTCATACACATGGATTGTCGTCAAATGGCATATCTGCCCCTCCAACGGAATGGTCTCATTACAGCAGAGTTCAGAACAGCCATCACAGCAAGTTAACTTACGCAGTTTGTCGAAGCTGCAGTCACTTCGCTAAGTCACCCCGCTCGAGAATAGTGATAGTACCAAGGCATATCTTGGGGAGGTGGCACAGCTACCCCTTCCGAAAAATTAGATGGTACCAAGGCATAACTTGGGGTGGTGGCATAGCCGCCCCTCGCCGGGAAAGTGATGATGCTCGGGCATATCTTGGGGTGGTGGCATAGCCACCCCGCACCGTAAATTTGATCGTACTACGACATATCTCGCAGTTGTGGCATAGCCACCCCATCCGAAAAAAAGAAACAGCCAAGACATGTCTTGCGGTTGTGGCATAGCCACCCCACACCGTAAAAAAGAAACAACCAAGACATATCTTGCGGTTGTGGCATAGCCACCCCATCCGGAAAAAAGACACAACCAAGACATATCTTGCGGTTGTGGCATAGCCACCCCATCCGGAAAAAAGAAACAACCAAGACATATCTTGCGGTTGTGGCATAGCCACCCCATCCGGAAAAAAGAAACAACCAAGACATATCTTGCGGTTGTGGCATAGCCACCCCGCACCGTAAAAAAGAAACAACCAAGACATATCTCGCCGCTGTGGCATAGCCGCCCCATCCGGAAAAAAAGAAACAACCAAGACATATCTCGCAGTTGTGGCATAGCCACCCCGCCTCGAGAAGCTTGTACCGTACTATGGTCTGAATACAGGGTGGACCCCAATGGAATGCCCACCGGTGATACATCCCAACATGACTCAATATTCACCACGGTCTACATCGGAGGCATCCCTGTAATTAAGATGAAGGTTACTGTTCAACGCGACACCGTTGGAAGTAACGTCAACCTCTAATGCATACGTCTATATCATGGCAAAAGCTCTTGGACATGCTGCATTGATAATATTCATAAAGACCGCCAATTAATCGGCTGATCTACTGGACATACTTTTAGCTGAGCTGATACATATATAAACAATCCAAAGAGTCACCAAGATAGCAGCACTTATCCGCTTGCCATGTTTAGTTCCCCCAAGCTCGCCCCCGTACTTGGCTCGCCGCGCGACTAATACAGTCAGGCATAAGAATGCGCAAATGGTGAATATCATGACAGAGAAGCTGAGATCACCAGCTTCCACCACGAAACCACCATCTGGATACTTGGTGTAAATGTCCAAACCTACAAAAGGTGAGAAATTAGCTGTGAGAACTGAACAGATACGGAAAAGAATACTGAACAGTACGCAAATCGAGCGAAGACTCTCACGCAAATATGTCCACTGGAGATTTGATATAGCCGCAATATGATTGATTTTTATACGAATCCCCTCCAACCCGCGAGTCGAACTTGAGCACACCCACTGCTACTGCTATTCCCTTGAACTCCCACAAACAAAGAAACTCACGAAGCCAACTATTGTCAATACAGGCTTCGCCAACTACTCACCAACTCTCGCTATCCACTCCTGTGTAGCCCCTTTAGCACTCCAATACAGAGACCCAATCACCCAGGGTAAACCGAGACCAAGGAACACGTTGACAGAGTTGCTGAAAACTAAAGTTAAGGCCACTCTCAACGACTAGCATGACTCACCTTCCCGTGACATTCCCAATAGAAGCATCTGCATAAGGATCCTGCATAGCTGCTAACCTTGATGCGAATGTATCAGGAAGAGAAGTACCTGAATTAGGATTTAAAATAAGATGCACAGCTAGGCTTGTTTACCTAGAGCAACCAATGTTATGGCGGTAACAGAATCAGGAATGTCCATCGTACATCCCAGGAGAGACGCCATATCTGCTATGATCGCCGTTACACCACCTGAACCGCGCACCTCAAAATTCGACTATCCGTAGAACATCTCCTACCAATCATGGATAGACTGATGAAGAACGTCAGCCAACCGTCCGCGTACTCAAGTGGAGGGCAAAAGGCGAAGACTATCTTCCAAGGGAAGGTAATAACGTGCATAACCCAGTCCCCGACGCCAGCCTGCAGTACCAAATCGTCAACCCCAGTGTCCACCAAACCTCACCTCAGACTGTTCTTCCCTGCTACCGTTCACCCACAGAGCTTCATTGAACTGTTCTCGCCAGTTCGTCGCTCCAAGACTCATCTTGCCTATCAGGACGACATCTCGTCGCAAAAAGTCGCGATAGTAATATCACCCCAGTGGACATTGAGGAGGTCTGTAACCGTCGTACGGCCCTGACTTATGCCCGACTTGGGTTTGATCCAAATAGTGCAGATGAGCGAATCATGACCGCCATCCGTTTTCGAACAGAACTTCGCACCTAAAACACCTTCACATGAGACACAGCAGAGCACAACAGGAAATCACCTCCAGAAGGTTTTGATAATATGAGCCGGAAATGGGGCGTTCGAGTAGACCTGATAATTCCACAGATTGAATATCATCATGACGGCCTGTCCGGCATTTACGTGGAGCGAAGAGGAATCTTTATAACTCCAGCAGCCTGATTATGGTCCATTATTAGCTCTCCCTCAGTGTGGATATAATCATTAGGAGCCACCGCGTTACCAGACTCTGTCCTATACAGTACCCTCACTTCACCGCTGCATCCTTTGGTTCGAAGGACTGTGACTTGAGCTTCCTGCCATAGACGGGCCTCACTGGGGTCGACAACAGGCCAAGGAGAAGGACTCACATCCCCTTCCACTACTAACTCCTCTTTCTCCAAGACTAACTCCCCAATCTCATCATCATCGATGATCGTCACTTCGGCTACGGACAGCTTCCCAATCACCGCACCCTCCGAAACATGTGTCACGCGAACCCTACAGATGAACAGCACCAGTTAGAATGACAAGGGGGTGCTTCCAACCGGCTAATAAGCTCACCAGAAGTTCTCATCCTCTTCCACTATATCGTCATCCATAATGGCGATGGTCACCTCATCACTTGACGACTCCCCAGCTCGAATAGTGATCTGTAGAACACACAGAGTCTCCACTACTCCCAATGACCGACAAAATCGTAGGATCTTCCAAACGTGTGGTAATCATCACTAAACTGATTGCAGAAAATTCCACGGCGAACAGCATCCCTACCCCGAATTTATCATGAGTAGTAACCAACAGTATTCCACTACTCAGACTTCCCGGACTACCTTCCCATCGATGACAGGTACATAGTCCTCCCCAGCGGTCGCAGTTCCCTGTAGGGTTTCATATCTCACTACGACCTTAAGAGACGAATTTCATCACGATAATCTGATCCCAATACTACATCTCGCTCCAAAGGGCGAGAGGTAACCAACGGCAACACTATTCTCCCAGCCCCCTCCATCACAGCGAACCTAGATCCAACAACCTCATATCAGAACTCCTCGAGATGTACTACCTCGAGCACTTGAAGTTAATCACAGGAATAGTGGATTCGGACTGACATCAGACATGGCTTGCCTCAACATTCCGTAACACTTACTCGAACAGCCTCTTCGTCCGCCTCAACCGTATCTGAACCAATCTTGATCAGGAAACCGGACGATTATACCGCCTTATCACCTTTGAGGGCCACCAGATGAGCCGGGAGAGAATTCCACACAGCTGAGTAAGAGAGATCAACATAAACGATGGAACAAGCCTATTGGTTACAGGATCTCTTCGACGCACCCGACCTCCTCGTCAACATCCGACTAGCCTGGATCCTATGTTGAGCCCTACAGGACATGATTGTGATTTCTCCATAGAAACACGGGAGACCTACCGAGTGGTCCTCGGAGGTCTCTCTGCCTGAATAATTCTCATTACGGCATCGTCAGTGAGACTTGAACCATGTCGTTGACGAATCTGAGATGGACACCTCTCCTGTAAGCGTCTCCTCCTGGTCACCTCAGCCATCAAATCCACTAGCTCGTCCGGACTGAGATCCTCTAGACCCACGATATGGTCACGGTGCGCACTTGCTACATTTGTCTTGATCGAGAACATACCTAGAGCAAGCCAACAACCCTGAACGATCCTGCATTGTACTACCTTTATCAGCAGCAAATGCCATGACCACAAGGGCAGGGAAAAGCACCAAAGTGACCACCGCTTCCCATATGTCTACTACGTCCGGCGAAGACACCTGAGGCGTATCTCAGCGAGGTATGAAGCGAGCAAACACTGCGTTACCTGCAGTACTAAGAGAAGCCATATATATGCAAATATACTGCAGCCAGCAGTAACCACAAATACGCCAATATCGTTGATAGCTCTCACTTGACCATCCGGGATAGCCATAATACATACCGCCGAGATGACCAGAAGGTTGAACGCTGCTGATCCTACGATGGTACCTAAGCCATGATGAGATCCCCCTCACGAGGACCAACTGTGACAGCCTACTGGGCCCCAAGTGTCCCGAGTACATATCTTGACTGAATAGCTCTATGATAGAGAGCAATATCTCGGGGGCGCTCGAGCCAAGTGCCATCAAAGTGAGATTCGCCACAGTGTCGTTCCATACTCGTACAGTCACCAACTTGGTCTCGCCTTGGATTGTAAGGCGAGCTGAGAGAAAGATGGTATGGGAGTCGGTGACGGGCGCGAGAGAATCTACCTCTTTTTTTCTTAGAAGTTATTTTCTCTATCGCCCCCATGAAGAAGTCGCTGATAATAGCCACGCCCACAAAGCACCAACAAAGGCCAAGGAAATAGAGTACCACCCTGAGGCCGTTGGGCCAGTCCTGTTCGGAGTCCCCAAACAAAGGCAGTATCTGAGGATGACTCCCTTCAACATACCCCATAAGACGGTCTTCCAGTACCAGTCCAGATCCACCGTGCTCGCATATCGGGATAGGCTGCTCTATCACGGGCGTGGCTAATGAGCGGGGAGAGTCGACGCCCCACAAAGAGAGGCCAATCATCAACTACAACACATGCCGTCTCCCATACACCCCAAATGCCGTACACCCTATCAGCGCATGGCGTATCGAATTCAGCGGAAGAAAGAACAGACCGAAAGGATCAAACACTTCTGTTTCCGTAGAGTCCGCAAGAGTTTTTTCACGAATTGAAAGTTCAAATTCCGAATTCCGAAGATCGCTCGAAACTCAAAGTTCAAATTCGTAAATGAAATTTATGATTTCGGAAACGAAAAAATTCAAATTCACCAAAAACAAGACCAGTTTCGACCAACAAAGCACCCTAGGGCGTAGTAGACTCATGAACTGGCTTATTCCCATCGCTCAAGCATCACACAAGACAACTCATCTCTGGAAACTCGAACGACAACAACTTTTTCGTGGCGCGTGGTAAAGTGAATCATCTTTTCATGCATATTGCACGAATCAGTGAAAATGCAGTCGGGGTGTTCAGAGAACAAATTCCGAAACTCAGAACACATTCCAGAATGCAAAACACCAAAATCGCGTTCAGAGAACAGCTCCCAAACACATTCTGGAAAGAGTCCCAGAATAGATTCCGAACGTGTTCAGAAAACTTCAGAATGCATTCTGAAACACGTTCCAGAAAGCGAGATTCCAGAATGCGAAAATTCATTCCCGATAATTTTGTGGCGCGCGGAAGGCTACCACGTTCGACAACGAATCAACGGATTCGCACAACTTGTGCGGCACAAGTCGTGGAACAGTTCCACTGGAACTCATTAATACTTTAATGCTACTCGGCTACAATCGTGCGTCAAAATCTCACATTTTCAAATTTCTTCCACAAATTCTCATTACATGCTCTTCTACTCTCAGCATGTGTCCCTCTCATGCGTTGCTTCACACTTATTAATTCTAAATGCCTCCCATCACTCCAATTTGTGTACTCACGCAGTTCGTACAAATTTACATCCATTTGGTGGTCGTATGGGAGTACCCAAACGAAACCTCCAACTATCACTTCACACTGTGGAGTCCACGCTTTACCTTCATAACTAAGTGTAAAAATCATGCAGAGAATGCGCTACAACCTCCCCTGCGGAGGAGCTACAGATTCCCCGGAGCGAAGTGACGCGAGCTGCTAGTTTTGTCCAAAGTCTCGCGATTTTCCTCGAGCAGAATTGTACTCAAGCCTCGATGACATTAGGAAAACGAATACACTGAATAAAATGTATGTTAATCAACTTAAACTTAACCCCTTCATCAGCTTGCCTGACGAAGTCCGACCAGATAGCTAAGCTCTGCCTTCGCTTGCGGGCGAAAGAAGTTCAGGGTGCGCTGTGTGGCAAATCTTAGAATAGATTGGGAAAAGGTGTAGTCTAAAGTTCTTTCACGCTAAAGCTCATATGGTAGGCATCTCAAACGGCTAACTGAATGGCCATTATGGTTCCCCTTGGATTCATCTGGGAATATCTCCGAAAACAGTATTGCGATCCGATACCAAGTACAATCACGCGGCCATATTCGAGTACTTCAACTCTTGAAGTTCAACACTGGAGGGAACGTGCCTACTCCGGTAAGGAGCGCGATACCACGCCATCCACGCTTCTCGATCACCCTCTGTCGTTCATAGCACTGCGCCGTCAGAAAGCGACCTTATGTTGGACTCTGTAGGGTTTGCCCCGGGAACCGAGGACGGCAAGAACTCGTAATCGACTAGATTCAATCATGGTCGGTATTTAATTCCTAGGGAAACCGAGGAGGTCCGCAATCTCTGCAGCAACCCTCGCCTCACCCTCAACGAGGCTAAGAGTGTCGACTGGTGAACCGTTGCTTCGACAGCCTGGCTACTCGTGCCTCCCACTAGGTACGCTCTTGGTAGTGCTCTCTTCGACATGATATCAGGCACGAGCAGTAGTGGACGAACGTAAATTGAATAATCCCTCGGTTGCTCTACAACCTGAGAAAGTTGTTGCTCCCGAGGTGAAAACAGGGAGTTGCTGTGCTTGGTACTTGTGTATCGGTGCTCAAAACACGAAACGCAACAGCGTGGTTGACATGTTGACAGCCTCATTGTCCAAGTCTACGAGATCAGAAGTGAGTTGTTGCCGTCAGAGATATCACATTATCCGCGACTTAGGTGGTGGAATCGATACTCCATTGCTCCAGTCCTATAGAGAGCTAACGATCTCATTTACGTTGATGGTGTGCTCCCACGAACGTTCCTCAGGTTGTTCGACAACTCCAGGGGAACGTTCGTTGTTGTGATAGGACTAATACGCATCACACGCGGTATCCATAAACATGACAGTATTAAGACAACTATCATAAACATCGCAGCATTATGATGCCTATCAAGAACATCACAGCATTAATATAACCATCAAATACATCACATCATTAAGATAACCATCAAAAGCATCACAGCATTACGGTAACTACCATGGTCTTTCAATCCGTCAATTTCTGAACAAACGTATTCCGTTTCGTATGAAGTCGAACTGTGTGGTATATGTCAAGAAAAACGGAGTTCCCAAGGACGACACCGCAGCAGAGCTCACGGCGACTTGGCATGAACTAGGCAGTGCTGTATCTCTACAGTACTGTCTCGGATGGAGCTCTAGCATGGTACTTCTCTCGCGATCTCTCATGCGCATGCTTATGATGGGCAAAGAGTCTATAATAGACTTATAAATGGCAAGTTTACCGCCCTTCAGGAGATACTTGTTGGAGACCTTATCCTCTGCATATCCTTTCTCTCTAAGATTCGACCTCAAAACTTGAACCATATCATCGAGTATTGTTGGGAGCGGAAGGAATACGGCATCTGATCCCGTGTCGAGGGGAGTCGTTACTGGTTTATGGTACTGATGCGAATATTCCACAACATTCAGTGGCTTTCCTCGTGTGCTAGACAACCCCACATAGTCGACTTCCACGCTAGGAAGCGACTGACTATGAACTGCCCGGGGTGCGAAGTTGAACCAACCGACTCCCCTCTGTCTTTCACCTGTAGACCTTCCGACCTCTTCACCAAGTATCAACTCCCCGGAGATCTGTCTTGAACCGTTCTGCAAGTATGTTCGAACAGAGTAAATCGGCGTAGAGATAGCGTTAGCATAAACGAGAGCGTCAAGTAGATTCTTTGCTTCACCAGGATGCCCCTGGCGGAGCACCAGGTTTCGCCAACTCGCCAAACTTGGCGAAACCTGTAACCGAATGGTCAAACGACTAGTCGGCAAAATCCTTTATAACCCCCTCGCAGACGGAATTACAGCGCATTGGTATCTGTAGCGAACAGGTTTCGACGAAATTTTTGGTATGACCGTTCACCAAACTTTCGAATTCGCTCGCCCGTACGCGCAAACCACCTTCATAGCATGTAATTTGCCTACAAGGGGTAGTCCAAATCCGTTTCTGTGCAGGATAGGACCATAATTTTGGCACTGTTAGGCGAATACTTTCAACGCAGCCAAACTAAACCAGGAATCAGCGAATTTATCGTCGAAAATGGGGTCATTCAGAATTTGCCAACAAATTAATTTAATAGGTGAAAGCTCTTGTACACGCATGATTTGCCTAAAACTTGTGCGTATTCAGCTTATAACCAGTATTCGCCGTAAATTGTCGCCGAAACATGTTTGCTGATTTTCATGGCATGACAGAATTCCGCGGATGACGGTCGCGTCAACTTGGCAGTTTTTGGTTAGAGTCTCGATTCGAGACTTTTGAAGGTGATATTCAAGTTCATGATGAGTTGTTCATCATATCAGATCATTTCCGACAGATGACCATGGGACTTTCGTTGACTTTCGACTTACATGAAACATCGTGACATAATACTATGACTATAATATGGATGCGAATACTCTTCACTCGTTTCAG